ATAAATAGGCCACCTTTTTTTGTTTTCTTATTGGAAACACAAGGGAACAGTTTTAGCCAAATCATTTTAGTTTAGAAAACTGTTTATCTTCTGAGTGAGGATGGGGGAAAATGGTTAACAATAAACGCAAAGCTCAATGCTGGAGAACTGTATTGTTTTATTTTTCTTAGACATTACACTGCTATAATAAAACAAAAATGAAGAAACTATTCTACACTACAAAAACTGAAATCGAAGTCAGTAAATTTTTCTTAAAATAATCACATTTTTTTCTGAATTAAGCAATGAAATAAGACAATTTACATTTAAAACAAGAAGCTTCTAATTTCAAGTGCATAATATCTAACAACCCCATTTTAAGGGTAAAAATACTAATTTCACTGGCAGATCATGGTATTTCCAACTCAAATTAAGGGTTGATACATTTGATTTAAGAAATGTTTTACTCATTTTGAGAGTTTTTTCAATGTAATCTAAAGTCTGATAACTTTAGCATTTTAAAGGTTGATCAAACCTTCTAAAACTATTTTTCTCAGCTATATAAATGAGGCCCAGGTCTCTGAGTAACTTTCAAAATAGAAAAGACGAGAACATTAATTCCAGGTACAGTAGTTGGTGCTAATCTTCGTAAGTCATAAAAGTGAGGTTTTTGCTTAACGCTGTTGCTATCTACAGATAGAACTCAAATTCATCAACAAGAACAGACAAACACAGCAGGATTTAAAGGTTTTTAGTCACCAAGCTCAGAAGTTGGTTGGTAGGACAGGAAAACTACAGCTCTCTGCAGGAGAACTAAGGCATCGTTTTTTAGTTAAAATAAGTTTGAACTGTCAGTGTGGAGGAACCTGTACTCAAACACTTCAGAAGAATGGAACTGTAATAGGCGCGGAGCAAGTTCGATAAATGACCTGACTCATTTATTGCTTGTGTTCTCTGGATGGTAAACCTTCAAATTTCCCCAGATGTGGCGTATATAAATAAAACCTTTTCTGTCTGAGGCGCCACCAGGCCTCACAGAGCACTCAGTCATTTCCCTCTTTAACCAAACTGCTGTAAATTTAACAAGATACACATAATCCTTGTAAATCAGAACCTGAACAAATGATCAATACTCAACTCTCACATCTGGATGATGGGGGAGATCTCCTCCTTATTCAAATGGAGACGTATTAATTTATCCTAAAGATTTATTGTTTTATCCCTCTCCCCTCTCCTGCCTTGCTCTGCTCTCTGTACACAGAAAGTTAAAGTTTAGAAAGCTCGCTGAGAGATACTCCTACTCGTCACAGTTCATTGCTCAGATCTGTTTGTGCTTCGCAAATCCTCCGATAGAGAGAGAGGGAGGGGGAGAGAGAGGCATCTATCACTGGAGTGCTCAGTGCGTGGGGGTCCCGTGATCTCTCCTACAATTTTAAGCACACATCTTCTCAAAGTGCCATGTACTCAAAGAGCCAACCAATTAATCTGCGAACCACTTGCAGACCGTCAGGCTCCTTTTTCGGTCCAGGCTCAGACCACCTAACGCCGTGGACTTTGGGGAAAAAAAGAAACTCTAGGACTCTGCAAAAAAAGCAGCGAAATTAAAGCTTTCAAATTTGTTTTCAATCAAAAAATTGAGAAAAAACAAACAAGGGTGTCTAAGTGTTGGAGATTAAATATTTACACATAAATCCGCCCTCTATGACTGCCATAAAGTAAGTTGGGTGTTAAGCACGACAGTTATTCCTGTTCCTTTGATGAGCCCTAAATCGTTTTTACTACACAGGAATCTATAATCGTAAGTCACCTACACTTTGTAGACGGCTCAGTCGGAGATTGCATTACACATTTACTTTCCGGGGTTAGAGGTTAAGTATGGGGGGGGGGGGGGGGGGGGGGGGGGGGGGCACACTGAAAGGACATAATAATGTCCTTTCAGTGTGTTTTTTTTTTTTTTATCGGGTGTGATCGGTTGTTTTATTTTGGTCACAACTTCAGCAAGGACACTACAAAGGCCTTTCCACATAAAACTGTCCAACTCATTAAGCCACTTCCTCTTGTAAGCAGAGGTGAAAATTTTACACAGTCGGCGTCTCAACAATCACAGACGCAAACTATTTCAATTAAAGTTTATTTTTCTTCCTTCGAAAATTATAAAAACTTATTACAAGTGATAAAACGGGAGGATTCAGGTATTCTTGCTTTTTTTTTTTATTTGTTATTCATTTATTTAATTCCATCCATCTAAACAACATGAACCATTAACCCTCAGATCTTCAAAAAGGAAGATTATTTTAAGCATTTTCTTGCTTGTTTCTGAATGATCCCAACATAAGGCGGCTATTTTTGTTTAAAAAAAAAATTTAATTTAATTAAAAAAAAACAAGGACAGGAAACTTGGCAGCAAAAATTATTTCAAATCAAATAAAAAAAATAACTTTCTATATGTTATCTTATAATAAATGAAGCAAGTCATGCAAACTACTCAGAATGCATAATGAATTTTATACATCATATGTCAAATGAATTAGCATGTCTAACTCAGCGAGAGGGACGGGGGAGCCTCTGCTAATTGGCAGCGAAGCTTCATGCATAATTATGGGCCGAGCGTCTTTGCTGTCGCACTGTGGCAGCAGCCGAATAACGAGGAGGAAAGAGAGGGAGAGACGGAGGGAGAGACAGAGAGCAGGAGATGGAGAGGGAGAGGGAGAAAAAGGAAAAACAAAGGCCAAGGAAGCTGGCCTGGAAGGGTGGGTGGTAGAAATGTGATTGTGTGTGTGCGGAGAAAGAGGAGGGGTACGAAGGGCACTGTTCTTCACAGCAGCTCATCAGGCCAGCGACAAACCCACGACTGTCCATCAACAGCCACACACACACACACACACACACACACACACACACACACACACACACACACACACACACACACACACACACACACACACACACACACACACACACACACACACACACACACACACACACACACACACACAGAGGGGAAGCTTACAGGAGAGCTGCTTCACAAACAAGGAACAGAGGAAGGCTTTGTGCTGCTTTTCCAATTTGTTGTTTGTTAAACTGCTTATTACATTCATTAAAAATTGATCTTTTTTACTTTTTTCCAGTTATTATTAAAGTGCAGCCAGCCTGTCCGCTGAGATTTACACTGCACTGCTCGTTCTTTGTAATCGTAAGTAATTGCATCTGTAACAAAAAAAAGGCACAGCACCAACATTAAATTACTTGGAAATTAACAGATAATAGCCTCTTTTTTTTAGAGCGTATTTATGCAAAGAGAAATGCTATTTTTCAACGTGCAGGGTTCTCATTTGTGTGTGCTGTGATAGAAGACATCAACCTATAAAAAAATATCAAAACGGTTAAAGTTTTGGATAATTATAGGCACTTCACAAACATATTCGTGTGGGCAGATGAGAACATAAATTTGTTTTTCCTGGCAAAGTGCAGCTCGGAGTGAGAATGAATGAAAAGGTTGTTTCAAAAAATCTGTTTTCAGTTCTAAGATCTTGTAAATTAAAAAAAAGGTTTTATCCTCCTTCATACAACAAAATGGAGATACACATATTTAAGACAGCGGATCAAAAAAGTAGCTGGTAAACAATGTATTTATTCATACTAGTGGTTATTTGGAATGAAAAATACAAATGTTGCTCTTTGAATATTTTATTTAATACTTAGAAATAAAAATAATAATAATTTGAACTTGTATGAAGTTTATCAATGTCAATGGGAAAATATAGAGTCTGATTTTATAATATTAAATTGAGTTGTTTCAAATGGCAATTAGAGACTGACAGTGTGTTACCTGAGGAGACATATGCAGACTCGGCAGCCTTGGGTGAGTCGACAGAAACCAAACCTCTGCTTGCTGTCGATGTCTGTGAGAACAAAGGTGAAGTTCTGCCCCACCTGGTTCTGGGAAACCCTGGTGATGACATAGAGGGGTCCATGCCGTAAAAACTGAACAGGTAACAGTTTATCAGAACAGGTGGGGAAAATTAGAAGCTACAAATAGATCAAATTATGCAAAACAGATATAAAACATTATGAAACTGGATCGGGGGCAGCTTGATTAGTCTACATATTCTGTGAGACTTAAAGCTCAGAATTAGATACAAATACATTTCAAATAGATTTTAAGTTTATGGTATAAAAAAAGCATTTTTCAGGTTTAAAACAAGTTAAATTCACATTTCCACCACTAGATGGCAGCAGCTAAGCTTCATTAAAGCTTTGAGTCCTCCTTACACCCTTACCTCCCTGTTAGTGTTCTCTCTGAAGAATAAATCATTGTGGATGTTGTTGTATAGACCTGCTACTTTTCAGATATAGGCCTCAGCAGATAAGATTACATGAATGTAGTCAAATGGATTATTTCCTATTTTATAAACAACAATCATTGCAGGATGACCTCATTGTGGCGACAATTTGTATCATTTTCTACATCACTGACAAGCTATCCCTCACATTGCATTAAGATTCTGCTTTTTTGCAGATCATGTCATTAACATTCCATTTCTTAAACATTTTATACCTTCGCCGTTTTGATTTCACATGGCTTTTCAACATTTTGCACCACCCATGGTTCATATTACATATCCACCAGGAAGGGCACTTTGTAACTGCTTTAACATATAAAATTTTAAAGCAACTGTGTAAATATGCCACAGCTTACTTTAAGGAAAACTGTTTATATGATTCTAATACAGCTTTATTAACTAGCAGCAGAAGGTGGCATTATGTTGGCAGATGTCTTAATATGCATACTAAATAAGAGCCAAAAATTGATATTCGAACAAACTGAACTGGGATAAAATGGGGTCAAAAGTTTTTTGATGAGAATATCTATGTATTACATTTCTTGGTACTGGATTCTAGCAATTCTTACAATCCAACAGCCAACCAGTCTGTGCTAAAGACAGCTCTGGAACAAGCTGCACTTTATGGAAACACTACATTTCCAGATACAAATTCTTCAAAAGATGTTTCATATATCCTCCAATTTTTTCCTAAGATTTAATATGATTCACCGGACAGGACAGGTGTGCAGTCCAAATAACTAGGCATGTTCTAACACCTAAAGACCCAAGAAGAAAGACAAATTCACCTAACGTCCATGTTTGTGGACTCTGGTAGGAAGTCCATGTATGAGAATATACAACCGAGTTTAACTATATGTGAGATTTTATGCTTTTATGTAAACATACTGTACTTGGAGTCAGATTGCTCTTTACTCAGCCCAATCCCATTTTCTACCTCTAAAAAGGCTCAAATCAGACCCACGTCATTGGTATATGTGTTTATGCAGCTTTAGAGTTCAGTTTTTCTCACAACTACATAATACTGAAAATGTTCAAACAAGATCTATTATTTTGTGGTATTTTTTTTTAAAGTTTTGTGTAAAATCAAGGTTTTACAGTGATTTTGGTTCCAATCTCCTGTTGGTAAATGAACCCCTATGAAATGTCAGAGGACTCTGGATCAAACCAAAATAACTCCAAGAGACTTGCAGAACAGTGCACCATGTGCACCACAGCGGACCAGCCTGAAACTACCAGGACTTTAACACTAAATGATGCTTTAGGGCTGAAATGCAGGCACCCATGGAAACTAACTGGTTTGATTCTATAGAATGGCTGGTTAATGGAGACAAAATGCTAATGGAAAGGTACAAAGAAGAATACCATCTGACCCAAAAAATAAAATATATGATACCTTTAATGTTTATTGTGAGGAAATGCCTCGACTTCCATACGCGTCAGCTTGTTATTGAATTGGCATGCATTTAGACGCATTGTAAAAAAAGACAGCATGGAATTTTTTTGAGTTTAGGAGTTGGTATGATGGTCAATACATTAAAAGGTTCGCCATTTTCTTTTCATTGTCAGACAGTAAAACATGGCCAGAAGCAACTACTTTCATAAAGTAAAAATAAAAATATTCATCATCTGGGGCAATGTTTGCTATAAACCCAAAGCAAAAAGACACTGATAATTCTAAATTTTCTTTCAGCTGTCAGAATAATACAATTACCACATTATTTTCTGTTTATTATGATATTATATACCCAAATACATCCAACGCAGCCCATGGTAAGCAGAGTTTTAGCTTTACTTTAGAAAGGCTACTTGCAATCCCTCCCATGTGGCAACGAGGACATTAAATAGTCATCATGAAGCTTCTACAGCCAGGAAATTGACAGGTGACAATATCACTAATTAATCACAATTTAGAGCTCATCATTGTCACAGTTGAGAAGCATAAACTGTACATCTCATTTGCTGTCTTTAGGTGTGAGAAGTGATCAGTTCTCAAGCTGTTTAAGGGAGTGTTCTCAGTAGAAATGAGGTGAAACCAGGAAACAGCGAAGGCGAAGAGAGGAATCATACCTTTCCACGTCAAAGGGAAAGCAGAACTTTGGTATTGTCTGAAGAACCTCCTAAAAACAGAACAGAGAATAGAACAAATGCTTTTAGAGATTTGACAAGAAAACGAACAAGATTATATATTTCGTTATGGAAATATCTTGGGCTTCCCCCAGATAGAGGTTAGGGTGAGGCTATCAAATGGCAGAACAAAATGGGGATTAATGCTAAACAGTACTGATAGCAATCTGACAACGTCTTAACATTCCCAACAGTGAAGCCTAAATGTACTTAATCCAAATGAATGGGCAATATAACCCACTTTATTTGGCAGAACAGAGTGGAAGCATTCCTTTTTTTCCAAGAATAAGGGAGGGATCCTCGATCCACAGCTTGAATAATTAACAGTTAATAAGTTCATCGATTATCAGCTGCCAAAGGGAAATAAAAGGGCTTGAGAAGAGAGGGAATGAAAAAGAAAAAGAGGGCAAGGGTGGATGGTGGGGGGTATACACAGCACCCAGGCTATGGTGGCAGATTGTAGTGACAATGGGCTAAGCAGCTCTGCGGGGTTAAGAGGTATTGGGGGGGGGATACAAGCCTTCAGGGCTTTACCTCCCAACACCACCCTTGTGGGTCTGCTTACTCTTGAAGCGAGGTAGGGGAGTTGGGGAGGGGGCGGTGGTCTTTTCCACCAGCGGCATATGGATTTAGACAGGGAGCATGAAGAGTGTGGTGCACCATATGGGTTAGCCACTCCAGAGCAGCCACACAGCAACCATGCGCAGGGTCTCTCTCTGCCTGTGGCTCCGGCTCCTCTTCTCCCTGGCTGCTAACCTGGCCCAGAAAAGCTGCCAGGTCCTTTGTGGCCGTCTGTCTTTCTGCTACCTCTTCCTCAGTTCTGGTCCAGCTCTGCCAAGCTCAAAGACTAATCCTGGGTACTCGGTGGCTCTCTGCTACGCCCTGGCTCCCTTGCCGTCTCCCTCTCTCTTTCTCTTTCGTATACTTGCCAAGCTCGGCCACTGAGCTCAGGTTTTGGTCTTTTTTGTTTTTTTATTATTGGACATATCCGAGCAGTGAGGGATGCAGTTCCTCCTCTTTCATCTCCCTGCCTCCCCCAGAGATTGATCCGGACGACAGGTTGGGTGTCTGCTGCTGCTGCTCCTGTCTACTGTCTCTAAGACCTCACTATGGGGAACAGTCACTGATCCCTACCCCCCCGCCACCCCTCCTCATCAAAACTTAAATCTGTCACCCCAGCATAACACAAACATTGTTCCAGACAGCCACCCAATAGCAGCAATAAACTATGACAGGATATGTGTGTGTGTCATGTGAATCTGTGCATTTAAATGTTATGATGCATGCGAGTCCCTGCTCGCTTCAAGGACTTTGCTTGTTCCAACCAAGGCTGGTGAGGCCTTTACATTTATGTGTGCTTGTGTGGGTGGCTGATTTTCAGTGGGCTATATGTTTTATATGAGCGCCTGTACCCAGATATGGAGCATTAGGGAGGGGCCGGAGGCGAGGCGGGCTGGATATGTGGGAAGTGGCTGTTTTTCCCTTATCTGAATCGGTGATAAAATTGAGAACTCAACAAAGATGGATAGTTGTGTGGCAGAGCAGGTCTGTTTTCTGTGTGCGTGTGTGACTAAATCCTGGCGTGTGCGGCTGTAAAACTGTCACACACATCAGAGCTGCCATCATTTTATGTGTTTGCTACTATTATTAACTACAATGCACGCACACCAACAAGTTCCAGAGAGCCCTCCCTGGCACACCGCATATGGCACACAAACCCACACACACACACACACACACACGCCCCGTGCACACGTGTGCACACAGACGATGAAACGCTCCTTTTTCCTGCAAATAAAAACACTTGAGTTGCCAGATTTGAGACGCTGTCTTGGCCCTGCCCACATCAGGTTTCTGTTTGTGAGTGACAGTCCAGGAGCAGCAGATACTCTGATCTCACGCAGCATCAGCAGGAAGTGAAGTGATGAGTTTGTATTTGCGCAAAGCGAGACTTTCAAATCAATGATATCTCCTCCCTCCATATAAGGATACTCAAGACACCATCCAACGTATAGGCTCTTTCAGACTGCCTGTCTTTAAACATTAAACAGACCGGACAGCTGTGTCTTGCAAGAACGTTTGTGAAGTTAGACAAGACCTGCTTTTTTTTTTTTCCCCGTCTCGTCATCTACTTAGTATTATAATTTAAGGTGGACATTTCACAGACTATAACAAAGGAATAGACTGACAGTCACAAACATTAAGGATTTTTAGACAACAGTTACACAAACGTTTCAGATAAAACTGGATTTGTATTCAAAGTAGTGAAATATAAAAAGAGCACAATAGTCAAGGAAACGCTGCTTATTCTTACCTACCTGTATATTTATCAAAACCTCTCTCATTGTGATCTAGACAAGGGCCAGTCAGTGTGTGGTTTATGCAAGTACAGAAGATAAACCCAATCATCCTTTTAAGCAGTTCTGATGTTTGGATTCCTTTAAAGGGATCCTAGAGAGTAAAAGAGAGATCTGGGTTTTCTCCAGATGTTGGAAGCTTAAAGTAAGAACAACATTGGGCCTCCCCTACTTGTTGCTGGTTGGACAGCTGGTTACAATTCAAAAACCATTCCAAAGACAAGTACAAATGTCCTAAAATAAGTGCATTTGTCCTTACATTGAGCAGGTAAATAAGACGATCTGTCAATAAAATTATTATTTTTGCACTTAAAAAGATACTTTAGGATAATTTAACAGTATGCACTAGAATTAAGATAATGGAGTTTTTTTTTTTCTCATTTGAAACACATGTCTTATCTGCTCAAATTAAGGGGAAAATATACGTCTTCTTTTAAGAGAATTTTACTAATGAAGGGTCCCTCACCTGTAAGTTTCAAGTTACAAAGCTGTATGGGAAGAGTTTTGGTGTGGAAGCTACAGCAGCTCCACCCATCTGTCTTAATGAGGAAATGGTTTTAAACCCCTACAAGGGCCATGGCTGTAATGCCACTGACTGCAGACTGGATAGTAGAGAGTGGGACTAAATAATCACTAGGTTCATTTTTTGAACAAATACTTAGTGTTCACTCTAAATGTTCAATTCTAAAAACCAATATCAAAATCAAATATATAGCTGCTAGATTACTAAACAAAGAAGCGAATTAGCCAATCAGACGACAGCAACTCAATGCACACTGCAAAAAAATAAGATCTAAGTACATTTTTCTAAAAATAAACAGATTTTTTTCTTAAATTCAGCGAGCAAGACACTTTGCCTAAGGAATAAGACAACTAACATTTAAAATATAAACAATGGTAGTCTCTTATTTCAAGTGCATAATATCTAATTATATTATTTTTAAAGGTATAAATAGTCAGTCCTTTGGCAAACCATTGTATGTACCTACTCAAATTAAGGGTAAATACACTTATTTTGATAAAATATTTACTAACTTTTCGATTATTTTAGCAGTTTAGAAAAGAAACTGCTAAAAAAAAAAAAAACTGACAGCATCTACGGTTCCATGGAAATGTTTCCTCTCATGACCATGGGATGAAGATAGAAGTTTACAAGTCCTGGATGACGGAGAGTCTTCATCAGTTTAATGTTTAATATTACTTGCTTAAGTTAAAAGTGATCTTCAGGAAGGAAAGGAGAAATAAGCAACCTTGGATGTAGAAGGGTCGTAGGTGCCAAACGAGCTGTTTTGGGGGTTTCATAAACAGAGGAGTTTATACAGGATGAGACTAAGAAGAGAAAATACCCAATGGTTCAGAGGTCAAAGGGTGAATTAATGAGAAATAATAGAAACAGGAGAGTCACTCAAATGAGCACACATTACGAAAGGTTGCCTGCAGAATATAGACTGTGACCAAACAACATGTCAAGCATAGAAAACAGATTAGAAAAACATAACATTATCTTTTAATCCTCGATTTCAACAGTAAAATTCAGGGTATAGATTCAGAACCAGGGTTAAATGTGGTAGCGTGTTCAAACCTTTCTAGTTCAAACCTTGATGTTGATCTTACAACTTAAATAAAATGCACCGTTATCAAACGAGGGTTGGTTGCATGAAGATGACAGTCAGCAGATCTCAATCCAACAGATGGGCCAAAGTCTGAGGAATATATTTCTGAAACAATTTTTAAATCTGTGCCATGAAAATTAAAGATGTCCTTAAAAAAGACGGTCTAACCTGGTAGTTAAAAGTGGACTCATGTTATAGAGCATTAAAATAGCTGTAGTAATGAATATCATTGAGACTCTTAAGAGTTAGTTGTTTACTCCAATTCAAAGCAATGAACCAATAATATAGGAATCTAAAAGCATAAACCTGTGGATATTAAGTGGGGTTTTAAACCGCCAAACGCTAAAAGGAGAATCTGTTTAAAAATATCCACTTTATACAAAGGAAATGGAGGGTGATGTATTTAATTAGTGATGTTATTTAAGGAATCTGGAATCTCTCACCTGCTGCCACAGACATCGTACAGTTTTATTTTCACCGGGAGGTAGAAGACTGAAACAACTGTTTTTAAAACCACCTGCAGATAACCAGCACCAGAGAGTTTTATTTTCTTGATATACCCATAAATCAACCATTTACTTGGAGCTCAACGTTGCTGCTCTTCCACCAATTCTTTCTGCTTTAACCAAAGAAAACGAGAGCATGTAATTTGAAACTCATAAATCTTCTCCTCATCCGTCAGTCAGTTCTCCGTTTCTCATTTCCAGCATCTCACCTGTGTTACTGCTAACTCTTAGGCATCTGTAAGTCTCTTCCCGTCACTAGGCCCAATACCACTGGGACATCTCAACACGGCTGGCACAAAGGGGATGTTCTGCTACTGTTCCTTACCATGGTAAACACACACTCACCCCCCTCTACTTGCCATTTTCCCAAGACAAAAGAAAAAGAGGCAGCTAATATATTTGCAGCTTTGAAAGTGGGTGGGGGGGTGAGGGAGGAATCTGCTGCTAGGCTGGGCTTGCCAGACACTGATACGTGTGTGTGTGTGTGTGTGTGTGTGTGTGTGTGTGTGTGTGTGTG